TAAGCCATGATGTTATGTTGTGATTAAAAAAATATATGATTTTGCACTTGTTGAATCTTAGGCCTCACTTTGTAGCCTTTTTGATTCAAGTTATTAAGCCTGTTGGGGTATTTCAAAACCCGATACCCTTTGGTCAAAACAACCGAGGAGCTATCGACCTAAAACTAGTTACAAGGGTAAAAAAGAAAGTTTAAGGGTGTGAGGTCAATTAGGAGCTTTAATTGAAAAAAATCTGATTTTGTACAATTGTATTCGATTTATGGGCTTAGATAACTAGTGAGTTTGAAATACTTAGTATAAACTTGAATGTGTAAGCACTCATCTAGTGGAGAATCATCACATGACTAAAGGTTGTTATTATCGGTTTGACCAACCGAACAAGAGTGGAAAAAGAAATGAGTGAATTGAGAGCAACTTTTAGATTTACACTCGGGAAAGAAAAGAAATATCTATTTGAGGAGTGTGAATCTCACGAGCGGGAAAAGACATATTTGACCACAAATGGTTGGGTTTGAACCAATTTGATTTCTTTTCCATTTTGACAACTTTTTCCTAATTTAGATGATAATTGAAAGTGATTACGCTCGTACACACCCCGATCGAACATTGGATACGCTTAAATTGTTTTTGGTAGCATTAATTGGAGGCATACTTGTGAATCGATATACAATTTCACACTTTGATATTTTTGACAAGCTATCTAACGTGTTGATCTTTATCTAGTTTGCATGATTGTGTTATAAATAATCTTGCTCGGGACGGGCAAGAGGTTAAGTTTGAGGGTATTTGATAAGTGTGTTTTTGCACACTTATTTAATACATAAACAAGCTAATTATTTATTAATTTGAGAGAATTTATATTCACAATTGGGTAATGTTGGCTTTTGTAGGTAAAAATCACTCAAATGGACTAAAAGCATACAAAAATGTGAAGTTGGGGACCAAAAATGAACAAGGTCAGAAATTGGAGGATTTGGAGTGCAATTTATGGAGGGCGATATTGAAATGAAAAACAAAATCCGAGGACCAAATTGTACAATATCATAGTTGAGGGACTGGACACGCAAATATTGGAGGGCTTGGCTACGAACTGGCAGAAAATTCCATTTTCCCTGCTGGTGACAGAGACAGTGACGCTGCGCGCCACTGTTTCGGCGTTGTAGCGCTACTTTTGTTAAAAAAAATGGGTTTACGGACCATTTTGCTCTTTTCGAAAGTTTGGGGACCAAAGATGCAATTTCCTCTAGGTTTTGTTTAAAATCAGCCTTTTGACTTTTCTTCCACAGTTTTGGATTTTGGCTTTCTGCTTGGACGTGTTTCGGGCATTTTTCTTCTTTTTCTTTTGCTTTGCTTTTCTTTTATTTCTTTTCCTTTCCTTTCCTTTTTCTTTTATTTTTCTTTGGTAATT